GATTTTAAGTCCCCATTTTTTATACTCTTCGATTAATTTTCGAGTCATATACTCAATATCTTCATAATCTTGTGCTATCACTAGTTGATCATCTGCAAATGACAAAGTGTATATGCTACTGTTGTTAATCGGCATTCCCATATTTCTACATTTGCGCATCCACAGTTTTATAGGCCTGTTCTAGATAAATTTTAAATAATGTCGGGGAGAGACAGCAGCCCTGCTTAATGCCTTTATTTATTTGGAATCAAATTGACAGATTATTTCCAACCTTTACCTTTGAGTTAGCATTAGCGTACAGTTCCTTCGTCGCATTTATTAAATTCATGTTTATGTTTGTTTCCTCTAACACTTCCCATAATTTATAATGATGTAAGCTATCATAAACCTTTCGTAGGTCTACATATAATAAATGTACTTCTTGATTAACAGCTATTTTCTTTTCAATAACCTGTGTAATGCAAAACAAATGGTCAACAATTGATCTACCTGCCTTAAATCATGCATGTTGCTCAGGCTCTATGTCTTTATATTCACTTTCTATTCTGTTTTTAATTACTTAAGTAGGTCATTTATTACTTTAGTAGGTTATTACTCGGTCAGTAGAATATATTCCGTATATTCTACTGACCGAGTTTGTCACGGCAATGCCTCTGTAATTGTCAAATTTATCTCTTCTGCCTTTTTTGTGTATAGTGGATATGAATGATGTCTTCCACTCCTCTTTGGTTGTCATTCCATTATGCAGTTTTGGAACAGTTTGGCTAAACTTGTATATAGCTGCACCATGTTTAATTAACTCTGCAGGGATGTTACCTGGACCCAGTGTTTTGCTATTTTTTAGAAATCGACATACATCTTCCACTTCTTTCGTTGTTATTCGTATGGGCGAAGTTAAAATATTAATATTTTGTGTTTCGTTGTTGTCTTTAAATTGTGGTTTGTCTTCCCTTCGGAGTTTCTCAAAATATTGGTCCCAATCATCCATTGTTATTGTTGACACTTTGTCTCTTTTCTTATCTTGTCATATAGATTTTAAGACTCTCCAACTTTCTGCACTTCTTCATCCACCTAGATATGAATTTATCATGTTACACTTTTCTTGCCATGCTTCATTTTTCTTCCGACATATCATTTTTCGTCCTTTAGCTTGAGACTCCTTTTAGATAGATTATTTTATCCATTATATTCTTTGCATTTAAGAATTTTTTATATTGGTCTCTTTTCTTCTTTATTATTTATAGAAAAAATAAGTTCTTTAAATATCAATTATAGCTATATAAAATAACTGGGCGCTAATATCAACAGTGAGCTAAAAAAAGGAATAATATCCAGAATTGGAAAAGTGAGGAAGTCATTAATGATCATAAAGACACTTTTGCAAGATCAAATTCTAGTCTAAAGCTAAGAACTTGAATGACCAGAGGATAAAATTCTTTCTTTGCCTTACTCTATGGGTGGGAAAGTTGAACAATGGATAAGAAAAAAGAAAAAAAAATAGAGACCTTTGAAATAATATATGTGTACAGGAAAAAAAGGTAAAGGAAACCTCATAAACGAGGTTTCCTTAGAGCATAAGTAAAGAAAAAGAACTATTAAAACCATCAAAGAAAGAAAAATGCAGTACTTAGGTGATGTATTAAGAGCTGACTTTAACTCATAAAAGAGGATAAAATAAAGGGTAAAAAGTCAGTAGAAAGATTTGGATTTATGGTTAAAGGAAATAAGGAGCTGGTTTAACCACTGATCTGCAGAAATATTTCCTGATGCAGTTTCCAAAATAACAATTGTCATTTGTATCAGAAACTATCATAGTTAGATAGTCCAATAAGAAGAATTATAAGACACAGTTAAAAGCAACACTCAGTCCTCAAAAATAAACTGAAGGAATACAACTTTTGAGCTGTACTGAAAAACATGCACTTTAACCTTCTGAAAATAACAAAACTATATAATGAACGCTAGTACTTCAACAAAAGATAAAATTTGAACAACAACGAAAGAGAACTGATAACTCACAATGTACTTTATCTAATGTCAGTGTAATGACAAGATAAGACCATGCAACTGGACATCATCATTCTTTCTTTGCCTTTATCCCTATGTGGGGTCAGCTTCTATAATTACATTTATCCATAAGTTTCTATCTTGGGTCATATCAACATTAATTTATACCCTTTACTGATATACCCTACCTAAATGTCTCCCCCTCAGGTCTTTTTTCAGAGTCTCCAGCAATTTCAGATCAGCAATTCTTCGTATTGGATGATTAACGGCTCTACATTGAACATGACCAAACCATCTTAACATATGCTCCCCTATCTTGGCAAAACTCTTATATACTCATATACTCACTATTTTATACTCATTCCTAATTTTATGTCTGACCTTTTTTGTCTGGTCTTATGGCTGTTTTATTGAATTTTCTCTTCAGCTTCATTGGAATTTTTCTATCACACAACACACCACTTGCTTCCTTCCACTTCATCCATCCAACCCTAATTTTACTGCATGCATCTCCATCTATTTCTCCATTACTCTGTCACATTGATCCTAGGTATTTAAAATTATGTATTACTTTTCACCATCATTTCACCATCCAAATATATCATTCATTCTAGTTCTACTAACTCCATCTTTCAATGAACATTCCAAATACTCTGTTTTTATTCTACTAAGCTTTAAAGCTGTTTTCTCAAGAACTTGTCTCTACTGTTCCAGTTTTTGTTCGTCACCTTCACTATTCCCTTCTAACACTAAATCATCAGCATACATTCTTCTTCTTCGGGTTCCTTCTCCTAGCGGAGGTTGGAAATCATCATCGCTATTTTAACTTTGTTGGCCGCATTTCTGAATAATTCTAATGAGCTGCAGCCGAACCACTACATTACGCACTCTACATACTCTACTTACGAACACTACATTAAGCACCATGAAATATTATCCTGTATTGTTGCTGTTATTTGATCCGAAATTAATCAGAATAAATAAGGACTAATCGCTGAACCTTCCTACTTTCCCCGCAGACTCCTTTCTTATTGAGTGCCCACCATAGAATCTCCCGAAGAACTCTATCATATGCTTTCTCAAGATCCTGTTATTTATTCCTGTATTTTTCCATCAACTGCCTTATAATGAAAATTGCGTCTATTGTTGATATGTCTTGCATAAAGCCAAACTGATTATCAGATACTTCGGTTTCTTCACATAACTATCTATCAATTACTCTCTCCCATATTTTCATGGTGCGACTAAGTAGTTTTATGACCCTGTAGTTTGTACATCTTCCTTGTTTTTGTAGACAGGTACTAATACGCTGGTTCTCCATTTGTCTGGCATTTGTCCAACTTCCATAATTCTATTAAATAGACCTGTTAACCAATTTGTCCTTGTTCCTTCTAATGTTTTCCATGCTTCCCCAGGAATATCATCTGCTTTGGTCTGCATGGTCCAACTGCTTTTCCACTCTTTATTTTTTGAATTGCTTGAGCCACTTCTTCGTTTGTTATTTTAAGCTAACAAAAAATGCATTTTCTGTTAATGAAATAATCACGTTAACTATAAATGTTACTCTGTATACAAGATCTTACAATAAAAAATTGGCAACAGACCACGAATGATTCAATCCATACCTGAAGAAAATACTCAACTGGACATCACCAGGTAGGAGAAAATAAAAAAATCCAGAACCAGATAATGGAATTGGCCATAAATACATAAACTATAGACAGTATGTTTAAAGAAAAACCTCTGATAAATGCTTCATGTAAAAGATGGGAATAATGCTAAATTAAATGTTCAACTATACATATAAACTCCCTATCAACGTTTAAAGAAAAACCTCTGATAAATGCTTCATGTAAAAGATGGGAATAATGCTAAATTAAATGTTGAACTATACATATAAACTCCCTATCAACTTACAGACCATCAAAAAACTATTAATCAGTGAAGTTAATATAATCCACACCAAACTTAATAAAAAATCTCACAGGTACAAGTTTATTATCTTAAAAATGTATTTATTTATTTATAATAGAATTATTACAAAATTCAATAACAATATTAAGAACATTACTGTAAAGAAAGAGATACACCAACTACACCCAAAGATATGCTCACTGCTCACTTTCCCTTAGGTTAATAATTAGGTTAATAATTTTTTTATAACTTTAAAAACTTTACTTATTTTAACTAATGTACCAGTGGCAGCTGTAGCTCAGTGGCTATGGTACTAGCTCAGCAGCCAGCTGCCCAGGTTTGAGACCCCACACATAACTATAAATTTTTCAATTTAACTGAGACGCCACCATACTTGAATCACCCACACTATAAGAGCATACTAAAAAACCATCAGTCCTAGTTATGTAAGTGGTCTTTGACATTAAAACTTGAGCCAGAAGGTTACACAGATGGAAGATAAGAATAAGCAGAGTGGCTGAAGTATAACATGATATAACAAAAACTGGCTTCTGCAAAAAAGGAATCAAATACTACAAATTATACATAAAGCCAGGAATTGCAAAAACATGTACTAGCTACTCCTAGCAAAATATGTCTGCACTATTATTTTGTTGATGGTTTATGGTTTTTATGTGGAACTTTAGATGTACAGCTAAAATATCAGTGTCAATATTTGACTACCAAAAATGTAATTTAAAAAATGTGGCAAATTAATCAGTAGAACTGTTAAAAAATTCACAATGTATCTTTAGATTTATAAGTTTTCTTAATATAATTTGCTGTCTCATTCATTTTACTAATAGTGTAACATATTATTTTCCATTTATCAACAATAAGTATATTATTTTCAATTATACATTCTCGAATTGTACTTAAAATTTATTAATATCTGATTTAAAATGAAGTAAACAGTTTATTAAGAATCTAGAGTTTATGTTCTTAGATTTTAAAAACTATGAGTAATTCTTGGTATTATTATTATATTACGGATATTGTAAAATCACCATTACTTTACATAATCACAAATAAATGCTTACCTTTAATTTTAAGGTAACATCAGGATCAATGTCATTATATACCAAAATATTCTGTTTCATATTGAAACTTTCTCGTACCCCAAGATGGTAAAATAGGGTACTTTGTTGTGCTGGGAAAGATAAGTCAATGATAACAACATCCGCATTATAAAAGCTGCTCACAACATTAGCTTCTCCAAAATCTAGTTTTTCAAACTAAAAGAAAACATTATTAGGACTTTGTTATATTGGCTGTTAATATTATTACCTGGAGATGATTAAAATTAGCCCCTACTTGAAGACAAGCTTGTTTAATTTCCTCCAATGCCTTTTTTCTTTGTAAGATATTTTCATTTTGGATAATATCTATAACACAAACAACATCCATCTGGCTCTTGGTCATTGTGCTGCCAGTGTGTACTGTAGTCCCAGATATATCAGAATGTGATCCAACACTGTCTGTTATGCTGCGACATTCTACAAAAATGTTTATTTTAACAATATTATACAGCAAGATTGTATGACATAACATTTTGTTGTTTTAATGAATCATATTTCCATACCTGTTTCAGTTTCCAAGACGGTTGTTATTGGTGGAATAGGCATGTTTGTTTTATATTGCAGAAATAAAGTGCAGACTATCAGTATTTGAATGTAAACAGTGATATCTGATTTGCCATATGCAGAAGATAATCCAGATAAGACCTGTTGTCGTTCACTTAGCTTCTTTCAATAACTCCCTCCTGAATATAAATTGTATAAATGGATCTTCTTTATCAAATTTAATTTCATTTTATTAAGTTTCAATTGAAGTTATAAATAATAATAAACTTGCATAATTGGATAGGACAAAATAATTCTTGTTGACATAATGAATGACATTTGTCAAAATGTGATACTTGTTCTATGCCACTAATATTCACAGAGCAACTACCACTAGCATAATTACTCTGTGCTAATTTTTCGTTTTATGTCATGCTCATGCGTCAAGCACATTAGCTGTTAAAATTACACGAATTTATTGGAGCGTAAGTACGTTAAACGTTCGATAATGTAATAAGTAACATTTTTTAGGCCTGCAGATCAGTTTTATTTGATTATTAAGATCCTATAATATAGTTATCGAACAAAATACCTACATAGTGTAGTATGTGCAATAAAAATAACTATGTTTGGGATTTTAGCCACTTGCAAATACAAACATGCATAAGCTAAAATTACCGTTTACAACTTTTAAATTTCAATCAATCAAGTAATCAATAAAAATTTAATGTTTTTAAGTAATGATTAGATTGCCAAATATAATGACATACATGTCACGCACTGACATTAAAATGTATGAAATGCAAAATGGCTAAAGTGCAAACTTCCGTTATTTCAATCTAAAACACTTCGTTTACTATTATGATTTGTCTCGACAAAGTTTATTTTCCATTTTTATTTTAAACCACAATATAACTAATAGATAGCTCCATACGTCTGATAAAGGAAGATAGGATTAACGGGATTAACAAAATAAATGTCGGTCTAAGACTTTTCATCAGCCGCCATGTTTTTCATATAGATTTAACAATGACTAAATACAGTAGTTGTTGTACTTCAACAGATTTTTTACAACCACCTTAAGTTCAATCAGTAAATGATTCCACCTTCACTTCATTAAACTAGGATCATGCGTCGGGAAGTGGCACTGAAACAAACGTTTCACAAGCAACACAAGCATATTTTTCGAACTTTCAACAAGATTAATGTTACAATGAATTTTTCTTGAAGCGCAACGCATTTTTGAATATTCGAGTATGTGCGAAGTTGAGTTTCAACAGAGTTTAGTATGTAATCGTATGTAAATAGTCGGTGTCATTCTTGAATATTCAAAAAAATTTCTCATGTAACCTGAGCTTATTAAAAGATCTCGTAAATTCTCCATCGACACTCCTTGATTAAAAGAAGACATTATCTAAAAACTTTGGAGTTTTCTAATAAAACCAACTTTAATAATAGCAGTGTTTCAAAACATTAATAATTCGCAGCATCATTCATTGTTAATAACCACAAACCACAATGTGAAAACTGATATATCTACTGCGTCTTTTCGTCTGAGGTTATGTCTAACGTAACCAATCTGTCTTATGTATACGTACGACTTAGTACGAATTCGTACGAATAAAGCTTCGTACGAACTCCCATCCAATGTATCCGCCACCTTATAGACACTGCTGGATCGAGTAATAGAAGTTAGCAAAGAAAGTGGATAAACACTGAAGGCTAGAAAAAATTATAGCCATAGAAAAAAAGCAAACATGACGTTATCTATTATGTAAGAGAAGTGCCTCTAGAAAAAATAAAAAATAATATAAACATTTGGTTGTGATTATTGTGTTGTTAAAAATTAATATATCGATGGCCTAGAATGAAAAAGTCGTAAGTCGATATTTTTCGATATTGAGATTTTTATACCGATGTATTGTGTACAACAGGCCTCACACATTACAATTGAGAGAGAGAGAGGGAGAGAGGGAGAGAGAGAGAGAGAAAGAGAGAGAGAAATAATCTCCTGCTGCCACCTGGCGAAAAATGAAAATGTTGCCAGTCTTGAATTTTGTATATTCACCAGTGAAGTTGTCATGTCCCCAGTGAAACGTGCTGATAAATAATATTTTGATTTGTGCAAAGCACTCAATTTATTTGGAAAATAGGTAAGTTTATTACATTTTTGTACTCTTTATTTCCCATTTGTTATTGTTTTTCCTTAATTATTTGGCATAATATTTAGTGTTTTTTTGCGTTTAAAAAAAGAATAAAATGATTTAGAAGTCGAGATAATGCTTTTTATACTTCAGTGAAAATGTCATATGTCTTGACTTAGATACGACTTTTTCACTGGAATTTTAAGATCGTGCCTTATTTGTTTACTCCCAAGTCCCAGTTGCTTGGGTCAGTTGCTAACGCGGTTTTCATTCTAAAATGGATATTTTTGGACATTATCATACTTACATCTCACCCAGCACAAAGATCAAAGATCACATCTTTATTTATTTATATCTATATCGAGACAGAATCTCCTGTGGATCGACAGAACCGGTCCAATTTAGTGTAAATATCAAGCAAGATATTATCAACGCAGACAAAAAACCACACGAAAATACCTCAAATCTACCAGTTTCACCTCTAGAGCTAAGTGTATCTAGTGATACGAGTATATTATTTACAATGCATAGTTTTCCTGTGGTTGAAAGTTCTCTAAATTCCTTAGTCCAAAAAGATGGTTCTTTGCAATTGGAAATGAATACACCTGGACTTGTTGATGACAAAAGTTATACTTCAAATTCAAGTAAACAAATTTTGGATAACATCGATACAGATTTAAATGAAAGAACCAACATTGATGCAAATGTTGCAACTATACATCATGATCCGACCAATGCTAGTAGTTCGACTGTAATTTCTGCCGAAAATGATGACGTGAGTGATGCTTTTAATTCAAGTGACCAAATCTTGGAAAACATTGGTACAGTTGATCCTACCAATTCTGAGAGTTCCATGAAAATTTATTCAGAAAATATAAGAAAACGAGCACGAAAATGTAAACCGAGAAAGGGAGAGTGGATCCAAAAGTCAAACAAAGATAAGAGAATGAGAGGACAAAATTACTTGGGAAGAGAAGAAAATTCGTTTACTATTGAGCGAGAAGCAAGAAAATTAAAAGCACATTGTGGTTGAAAAAAGGTAAACTTGGAGAGAAACACAAATGTGCTTTGTTTGATGAATACAAAAGACAAAAAATATTTGCATAATTTTAAAGTATGAATTGTGATGAAAAAAAAAATGTTGCTCAATCTGTCAATATTGTTAGCGGTAATGAGAGAAAAGGTAAAAAACAAGAAAAAATTCAGAAGACAGACTACTTATGAATATTACCTTAAACTTAGTACATCTGAAGAAAAGTACAAAGTTTGTAAGAAGCTTTTTTAAATACTTTGGCAATTGGAGAGAGATGTGTATTTGACTGGGTAGGAAAGTACAAAAACTTTGAATAGTACAATAGAGTCCGAAACAGAAAGGGAAAAAGCTTCTGCGTTGGATTCTTCACAAGCCAATGAAGAAAAAAAATGTTCAGGTTCAACCTAAAGCTGGCTCAAATAAAGCTGAGGATTCTAGAAAATGTATTAATCATTTTTTGGATGCTCTTCTCAAAGTAGAGTCGTATTATTGTCGAAAATAAAAAAAAAGTTATATTTGGAACCAATGTGGTCATCAAAGGTAGCTCTTTATCGTGAATATAAAACATACTGCAATGAAATAAATCAAAAACTGGCTTCATCTTTCACTTTTGATGATGTTTTAGAGAGAAAACATTTATCATTGTTTAACCAATATACTTGATAATTGAACAATTTTTAACATGAAGAAAGTAGTTTTTTTGTTCTACGTGAATAATTGTAGTACATGGATCTAAATTCAGAAAGGTACTTTCCTTCACACTTTTTACAGGCTTAGGACTGTCAGCAAAAAACTGGCGTGCTTAAAGTTTTTGCTCTTCCTAATCGGATATCGTTAAACATGTACAGTAATAGTAGTTCTATTTACAGTATATACCTACAAACGAATACATAATGTACAAAAAATAGATGAATTGAAAAAAAAATATAGAAAAATATATACAAGTTATTATTTACAAAAAATATACCCAAAATAACCAAAAATATTTATGAATTCCTAAATACTTAATTCTGTTTCGCTGTCACTATCCTCTTCAAGATTAATAACGATTGGTTTAATTATGCGATTCAAAGTAACATATGAATTTTCTACATTCATTACATGGCGTACTGAATTTTTCCAACTTTCTGGGGAGATATCATCAACACATATCCTTATTAATTCGACTACACTACCACTTAAAGTCGGAGAAACATTTTGTGACCTAACATTTGACTTTAGTTGGTGCCACGTATGCTCTATTGGATTAAATAAACAATAGTAGGGTGAAAGCCGTAATACTGTATATCCCATGTCCTCGGCCAATGCGTCACAAACAAACTTTTTTTATAGAAAATGATTTTAACATTTCTAACAGTTCATTTTTAAATAACTTTCTTCAAAATATATATCGTTTTCTAACAGGCAGTTTTCAATTTCAATTTTCGTGTTATTTGCACTTGGAGACTTACGTAATTGACGACTGTGGTAACTTGCATTGTCCATTACTATTACACTATTTTGAGGAAGGTTAGGTATAAGACAATTCTTAAACTATTGCTCAAAAAGCTCTGCCGTTGTATCCTCATGGTAGTCTACGCATGAGTCTTTAATGTTCTTTGCAGAAAGCCATAAGGCATTTGGGACCCAACCAATTTCTGATTCTGCATGTAAAATTGTTATTATTTTCCCTTTGTTTGATGGAGCTTTTGTTTGACACCTGTAGGGAGAATCGGACCATCCTTTGGATAGTGTTTCATGAGTGTCAAACCATGTCTCGTCCAGATAAATAATTGGTCGATCTTCTGTACGGTACTTTCTTATGGAAGTTATATATTCAGTACGCCACTTTTGTAAACGATGGGACTCCATAAGCGCTTGCCTTTTGTCAATTGTACGATATCTGAAGCCCATTTTAGACAAAATCCTCCAAAGACTAATGCGGTTACAGTTTATTTGTATATCATCATTAGTAAACCGTTGTTTTAAAGCATCTAATGTAGGTATCCATTGCTCTACGTACATTGTGTAAATTTTTCGTCTTATTAAGTCCTTATCACTTTCGTCAATACATTTGGCAGAACCGGCATCCTTACGCTTTCTTCTTGACTTGGGATTTTGGTGTAATTATTTTCACTGTGGTTAGAGGTATTTTCGTTAAATCAGATATTTCACTAG